GAGCTAAACTACGTTTAACGATTAACGGTTTGCTCCATGTTCCATAAATCTGACGTATACGCATGTCGAGAAATTAAAGTTTTTGGCAGACTCTTCCAACTATTCGAAAATCCGTCCGGTATTACCCCAACGTACCTTACTAGAAACCTAAATGTTCCAAACGATTTTCTCTTTTTTTGTTTCTTGCCATCCGAACTTATCCCTGATATAAAGAAATTGTAATTTTATGTTTCTCAAACTTTGTTATGACATAAGATGGAATTACTCAATATAAGAGAAAGATCGGATGCATTTGATTTTATATGGGAAAAAAAAATAACAGTAAGGACTGGCGAAATGCCCTGGGATAATGCAGGAGTTAAGGAAGATATAAATAGTTTAACAAAGCGGCATTTATTATTATAAATTATTTTTTAAATAATTATTATAAATTACATTTTGATTTGTAATAGAGGATAGATATAGATGTCTATGGGCCGCAGCAATCACTTACATCAGGTGTACTGTGTGCTCCTTTGTCACCCTTATCCTATAAAAAAAAATGTATTTTAATGTGTACTTAAAAGTAATAAAACCATCGTATTGTTTTATTACTTTTAAATATACAGACTTGCTAACGAGACTGAGTCCCATAGTCACTTGAGTAAAAATATACACGACCAATGAAAGTTTAACAACCACTGCCATATTTGTAACAGGCAAAGACCGGATAATATTCATCCGATCTTCACTCACGAGGGGAAACATCGGATCTCGGCCTACAGCGATCTTACCCTTGCATGGACCAGCTTTATTTAGCTATAACTTCATAAAAATTAGTATCCACACAAAATAATAACAAAAGAAGCCATATTCTCGCTAAAAATCGTAAATAAAAGTGATAGGGAAAGATCGGATGGACAAAAATAATACAAAAATTACATTGTTTTATAAAATGCCCCGCAGCACAGGTCCCACTTGCCGGAGTGACTGGCGCGAACTGAGGGTCGGGGCAGGATGAAATGGCGTCGTGTAGCATATTGTTAGCTTTTCAAAATATAGCATAATTCGCCGGGAATTTGAATCCTACGGTCTTGCCCCATCACCGATCTTACCCATCTTACCTTAGGTATTAATAAAATGACACATTTCTCAATATAATATGCACTTCACTTGTAAGGTTTTCGTCGATAAGGGTTAGGTACTCTTATATATAACGCAGTATCTGATGTTTCTGCTGTCCGATCCGGCAGCGAAAGGATTTCCCCACGATAAAAAAGGTCTAACACGACTGGTTACTTCGCCTATACGGATTCCAGAAATGGAGGACAATGTACCAACTCTATAAGACCTTCTGTTTACCCCTCATCGGTCTCTTTCGATGCTTCTTTTGGCTCTTCGGAACATTGTCTAAGTACGGTGCCACTTATGCCTAGATTCCGATTGCATTTTTCAGTTTGTCGCCGTGTATGGCATTTAAGGTCAGCGGACCGGGATGCGGACTTAATGCAGAATGCGTTGTTACCCCTGAGGACTAAGATAGAATGCCTCGTTTCCAGTAAAAAGGGTCTCTGGTTCTCTACACTCACCATACGAATCACAGAAGCTTTAAGCTATTTTACGCTGGTATTCTGGGAGAGCGTGGTCCTTCCCCGGTCGAGCCGACCCATTCGTGCTGCAACCATAATATAGCTGCAGCGTGGCTCTATCACGTATTAAAACCATCGTTTATAGGTGTATCAATTTAAAACTGCTTTTAATTTTTTTTATTAGGTTTTTTAAATTAAATGTTGCTATCAGAATAAAGATTTCTTCTGTTTCACAGAAGCGTTTTACATGCATAATTGCACAGGAACACACATATATAGACCCGGAACAAATTTTTCTAGACTATACAAATAGTTTATTCGGAATTCGGACCCCCGGCCAGCAGCGTCAGCGTCGTGGCCAAACCAAACAACCACTACGCTAACCAGGTGACAATCCTGTCAAAGTTACGTTTTACTTCTATCTTTAAGCATATTTTAGATTTTTAAGAATATCTACTTATTTTCAATAAATTACAAAATGAAAACTTGACTGCGTAAGCATAGAGAATTTTGTTTTCTGTTCCCTTACCAATATTCAGTGTTTGTTCTAAAGAACAAATTTAAAGTACATTCTTGTTAATTTAGAATCGCTTTCGACTATGTTAGAATTTCATATGTACTGTGACTAGATAAATATTTAATGTGAAAATGAAGACGTTGATTAGGAATTATGATAACGTTATATTTTCGCTTACAAAATAATTTATATTACACATTGACTTTGGCTCTGCCAATGATAGTATATTATTCACACATGAGACCAAAATTATTCTTCAGAAGATTTAAGAAATGGAATAGGAAATCCCAAAATAATCGAAAAAAATAAGTCTCTAAACTTCGACCAGCCAATATATACACACGGCGGTGTGCCTCAGCCAAGTATGTAAAAGAAAAAGGCAACACGCCTCTATAGTACATATTATTTACAGAATCTACTTGGAGGCACATTCGAACCTCTCATAACTCAATATATTTAACACCCCTCAATATCCAGAATCCAGAGTTAAGTTATAAAGGTCTGAAAAGTGTCCTTTTTATAACATGCTTACTTACTGATTCGTTCGCACACTCATCAAAAACCTAGACCACTTCTAGGTGAGCTAGAAACTTTAAAGTAGACGTCAATTCATTAAGCCGCACAAAAAATAACAATTAGAAAATACAACCTATCGATATTCGGTGTCGAAAAAGTGTAGTCTTTATTGATGCGGTTAGTTTCAAGTACGATACTTGATATTCAATTTTTCATTAAATTCTAAGAACGTACGTTCCTTTAGGTACTGGGAACGCCATTTGCACCGAACTTCGGCCCTTTTTATATTTATGTTTATGGTTGGAGTTTTAACCACTCATTTTATAATACTCTATGGCTATGGGGTATGAAAAAGTACTCATTGTTTATATTAATAAGATTATATGGCGTTAGAGATAATAATCTAACTTTTCCATTAGCACGTCTACATTTTTCACTCATCGTCTGCACTTCAACTCTGCCATGATTTGCAGTGGGCGCTATTTTTGAAAAAAAAAATGTATAAATAAAAATAAATATAATTAGTATATAAATTTTATCAATAAAATGACGTAGGCAATATTATACAGGGTTATTTAGCAATAACCGGCCAAATTTGCATAGAAGGTTCAGAATAAATAAAATAAGGCAAATGGTGAAGAAAAATTAATTAAAAAAAGCTCAAAAATTCTGTCGTTTTTATCTTTTAAATTCAAAATGCGTGGTAATCATCGATCACTAATAAAAAATTAGATACACAATCAGTGACAAAAATATCCTTACCGAATGAGCGCCCATTTGGGTGCGCTTTGAATTTGTACGTAGCTTTGGGAATACAAATATAGGCAATGCGTTTAAAGTTGAATTTACATTAATGTATATTTATTTGAACTACAATTACGTCAAAACAATTGCCGTCAGTTTTTAGAGAACTATTGCATGGGATTGTGTATCTAGATTTTTATTAGTGATCGATGGTGGTAATGCATTATTTAAACTGATTTTACTGCGCACGCACACATTCGTAAGGTTCGATCTGTGGGCAGAAACGTTGTTGCCCATAAATCACATTTTTGATAATTTACGAGGGTGACACTGAAACTTCTTAGATTATTTTTTTTAGATTAATTTTATTATATATTTTCAAAATAGTGTCCATTTACATCAATACATCGCTGCATCCGATGGAACCACTGAGAAAAGCAGTTTGCCCATTCGTCCTTAGGGGTCTCTTCGACGGTATTTTGAAACGCAGCCACTGCTTCCTCGGCGTCCATAAAACGTTTTTCTCGAAGTTTTTCTTTTATTTTCGAAAATAAATAAAAATCGCAAGTTGCGAGGTCGGGTGAGTTAGTAATTCTACGTCTGACGTCTCCAAGTAGTTGATTGTTTGCTTGGCGGTGTGCGACGAGGCGTTGTCGTGGTGAAGGAGGATCCTACTGTTTAAAATTTGGCTATTCTTTGAGAAATTACCTTGTAGATGAAATTATATAATATTATAATACATTATCACCGCATAGTAGGTAGTAAATTTTTATTAATAACCTCAATTAAATTTTTGCCAGTTTCATTTTATATTAATCATTAATGGAGATAAAAGTAATCCTATGCGTGACTACTTTATCATTTGATAAAGTTACATTTGAACAGTTTGATGTAAGTTTCAAAGCAAATTAATATAGGTACGTCAGACGTCATATCACTATATCTATATCAAAGCGACGGTTAGCAACCTAATTACTTATCAAAGTACAGTACAGTGCATATACTACTAAAATAAAAATAATATAATATATTAATAACAACATAGTCGTTTTTTTTAATAGTTGAAAAATATCACTTTAATATATGCCTTGACTATTCGCCTAGGTCCATAAATATAAAATTCAAACTCTTAGTGTGATTATTTTAAATAATACAAATATTTGCATATACTTGAATTCATTCAAGTTAGATAAAAATCCGAAGAAATACTTCAAAAGTACATACCTGACACTTAAAAACAACAATTATTTTATTGAGGTAAACACAAAGTAAATTTTTGTTTGAACCAATTAAAACCGACATATTATTATGATGATGATAACAGTGAACATTAAAGTCAAACCGATAAGAAGCATCGTAGTGCCCGCTGCCGAATAGGATGTTCGTCACTTAATTTCATCGCGTACGGGTACGGTGCACCATTGGTAAAGCGCATTAACGTTGATGGACATGACCGGTTAATTCAACAAACCAACGGTCAAGGACCTTTATCACACAAAGTTTACAATAAACAGTGTTACAAGTGAAAGTGATGAATAATATACATCCTATACTGACCTTATTTGAAGTGCGCAGTGTTCGTAAGACCATGAGGGAAGTATTTTCATCGCTTTAGAAAGAAATGTGTTAAACTATTTCAAGGTATACTAGCTGCGATGGCAAATAAAGTAAATAAAGTTCCACCCGACGGTGGATATGGATGGGTGGTTACATTCGCATATGCACTCAACAATGTAAGTATCGAATGATGGATTACACTATTTATAACAAGAAAATCAAATGTACTTAATATTTTCTTATATCTATGCAACCAGAAATAGTTGTTGAGATTGGTGCATAAAGATGATATATGAAGTGCGGAATGTCACAGCCTCTCTAAAGTTAAATGTTGAAAATAGGCCTTTCCCATAGATTAGTGTCATATTTGCCATATTTGCCACACTCGGCAAGCGGGTTGGCAAACGCAGTTTGTTATTTTTATTCAGCTGTTATCAGGAAAATTCTGCTACCCATCTGGTTGAGTTTCCCTATGTCATACTTTACGACACTCACGGGATTTTAAGTGGTAGTGGATGATATTCTTACACCGCCGCGGTTAATTTCTTAACTTAAACTGTAATTATTATTAATCTATCGATTTTACTAAATAGTGTATCTGAAGTAAAGTATCAAATTATTTGATATTGCTATTTGGATTGAAATTTGACTTAATCCTAAATAGACTTTTTTATTTAAATAAAACTAATTTTACGGGGACAGTCCCCCCGTGACCATGAGTGCTGTAAAGTGCTTGAAACGTCGGGAATGTAAAATAAGTTATTATACGCAATAAAATCCGTAAAATTAGTTTAATTTAAATGTGTAGTGTTCGCGTAAATATAAGAAATCATTAGACTTTTTCATTTATGTTTATTTTAAACAATGGAAAAATTGTAAGGCTTTGTAATTTTGCTTTTTTATTTTCAAAATTTAATACACATGAAAATCGTGGAAACTACTACTAAGTTCTAATTCTCTCAGGTTGTAGTTCTTCCTCTTATTGCTGGTTTTGGACTGGTATTTCAAGAAGCTTTTGAGGAAACAGGCCTAACTGCAACACAGGGTACACTAGTTATTACCCTAAATCATGGTTTTGGAATGCTTCTTTCATTTTTCGGCGGTCCAACTCTTCGAAGATGGGGATACAGAAAAGTGGCAGTATTTGGAGCATTAATGATTTCATCAGGACTCATTCTCACCTCGGCTGCCTCTAATTTTTGGATATTCATAATATCATACAGTATTATTAATTGTAAGTACAGATAGAAAGGTAGTTTTGTTATAAATATATAATTTTGTTGTGATTACTATAATTCGTTGGTTACAGCAATGGGTGTAGCTGCAGTGATGGCAGCTTTTACGTTGGCAATTAACTCATATTTCAAAGATAAAAGAGGAAGAGCAATAGGAGTTGGAATGTCTATCACAGGCTTAGGAACAATTTTCATGCCAATGGTAATGAGTGCACTAATGTATTCATATGGTTGGCGATATGCAGTACTTATTTTGGGAGCAATTTGTCTTCATTCTCTTTCAGCAGCATTCTTATTAAGACCTGTGAAATGGTATTTAAAGGATCCGCCAGTGTTAGAGGAAATGCTACCATTAAATAAAGAGCATAGGGTGGAATTAATAACTACCTCTTTCAAACAGACAGGTATTTTTTTCTCAGAAATAACATTGATAACTCAACGTACAATTTTGTTTAATTAATAGTTAAGTAATAAGTTCCAGATGTTGATTCCTTGCGAAAGCTGGGTGAGCCAGTAGAAAACGACGTGCAGTATCCAAAAAGTCTATCTATGAGATCTTTAAGAAACACAACTAGCATACAAACAAGGAATGCAATCTCCCATCCAGATATAAGTAAGAAATCACCTGATCCTCCCCTTTCGGAGGCTCGATATAAATGGTGGGAATCTCAAGAAATTAATTTGGGAAGTTCTATTAATATCTTTCATGAAGAAGATACTATAAAACGAATAAAAGCTAAGCAAAATGATGTTTCGGATGTAACCATCGAAAAGAATATGAAGTCGAAGACTTTGTTCGGCAGATTTATTGACTTTTTCGATTTAACATTGTTAAGTGATCCAATATTTGTCAATATTTTATTTGGTCTTTCAATGGCGTCATGTGTAGAAACTAACTTTTCATTATTGTTGCCAATTATTCTTAAGGACCTATTGAAGTTCGAAACTGGAGATATAGCGAAGATAATGGCTGTTATTGGATTTTCGGATACATTGTTTCGATTTGTATCACCGTTTATAGGAGAATGGTGTCACAAGCCTCCAAGAGTGATGTACTTGGTTAGCTTGATTGTGATCATCATTATTAGAAGCTGTAAGTATTATAAATATTTTGTTATGTGTTATTTTATATTTTTAATGACTTCGGGACATTTACATAATAAAAACTATATTATAGTTACTTTAGTTATATAATTTGTTTAGATAGATGCACATTTACCTTATCTTTAGGCACAGACCATAATGATGACATTTAAAAATAGTACCTGGTTGACCGAAACCGTAAAAATACTGTAATTAAATGTACGTAACTCCACAACAAAACATTCTAGGAGTCTATTATACTTTATTTTGCCCAGCAGCAGGGCCTTGTGGGCTAGAATACAAAAAACAAAACTAAAAACCCGGACCACATGCAGGATTCGAACTCGCGCACTCCGGCGTGCATATGTTCTGACAATTAGGCTATTGAGAAGATATTATTAAACAAACCTGAATCATGAGAATCCTGAGAGACGTCTTAGAGAACGCAATTACAAACTAATGCCTATACAGTCATACCTCGACTTACGCCACCCTGTTTTACGCGAAATCGGAGATACGCGGTTTTTCATTTGCACACTTCGCTCTGTCAGTGTTCGGTTTACGAGAAGTTCGAACGTGCTACGCGTGGAATTGTCCATTTTTTTACCACAGAAACCCAAGGAAAATCACCCTCAAATCCTGAACAAATTGATGGTATAATTGAAGAAGTGGTAGATATTGCCAAACAATCAAATTTAGAGGTGGATAATGATGACGTCCACGAATCGCTGAATTCACACAATCAAGAGCTAACAATTCACGAGCTTATGGAAATGCATGAGCATGATGAAGACATTGAACAACCTGATTCATTACACCCAGTTGAATCGGAAAATCAAATGACGATTTCAAACTTAACAGAAGGCCTCAGTACTATTGAAAAGGGTTTACAAATTTTAGAAAAAATAGATATAAATGAAGAGCGCGGTTCTACTACAAAACGGGAAATAAAAAAGTTACCGACATGCTACGAGAAAATTTTACATGAGAAGAAGAAAAACTTAACTCGTCAGGCGATATTGTTAGAATATATGAAGCCTTCGACATCAAAATAGCTTCGGTTCATGTTGTTTTATTCATAGTAATGTAAATTGTTTTTATTATCTAACATTTTATTAAACATGATTCTTTTAAATTATTGTTTTCTTTAGACTCTGGTCCCGATTTCACAAACTTTATACGTATTTATATGCAAAATTGAAACCCGATTTACGCGAATTCGACTTACACGGCCATCGCTTGATCGCACCTATCGCGTAAGTCCGGGGTATTACTGTATAAGTATTGCTTGGATAATAGTGATAATTGGTGATAATAATGTACGACTTCGCAGTTCTCGGTTCTTTTTCTGCATATCTTAAACAGAGAGTATTAAGAATTGTATTAATTGTACATTACCTCCATGTTCACCACACAATTAAATTCATTCAATCATATTTATATATTATAGTTAATATTACTTTCCTAATTACCACAAAAAGCAAATTTTAACAGTTTATTGTCATTGTACATTTTCATGTGAAGTCAAACTTAATTTTTGCATCTTCCCACTTTTCTAAAAGGATTTCATATTATCTATAGGTGCTTTTTACTATTATTATAGAAGAAACTTATTTACTCTCTTCGAATAAAAGTAAGAACATTTAAATGTTTTTATTTATATATCTTTCTAAAAGTTCCCAAACAAACTCCCAAAAAAAGTGTATAAGACGGCCCTGCCTGTGATGGTCATCGTCGGTCTGTTTATTTTACAACTAATATATACGAGATAGTAGTACTGTCACCTATGAAAGGTCATGTGGTCTACCAGAAATTTCTCATTGTCTCCTCTTACAGAAACCAATAGATAAAAACTGCCTTTGTGGATTCTCCTATACCGCTAGGCTTGGTTAAAGTTTTAAAAATGATTTATCATTTATTCGTTATTTTCATTTTTCAGTAATGCTCTTTACAACTTCGTTCACGGGAATGCTGTTCGTGGCGATAGCAATCGGCATCACGAAAGGCGTTAGAACTGTCTATATGAATATTGTCATACCAAGCTACGTGCCTTTGGAACGGCTGCCTTTCGCCTCAGGCATACAGATGTTCTTCAACGGCATCGTTATTATCACTCTTGGTTCACTACTAGGTAACTGATGCTAATTTTATGTACCTACATATATATACATATACATAACATATGGAATAGGAAAATCTCTTACTATCGATTAAATCCATTCCGTATTCATATTATTAATCAGCTTTAAGATAACGTCTAAGATTAAAAAAAAACCTTTTTAAAGTATTTAACGTAAGTTATTAATATATCGTATCTACGTTACCGTTATATTATTTATCATAAAATAAACGCTTGCTAAGGATTGCAATATGCATGTATATTTTATAGTAACGATGACGGAAAACATATGTACTTAGATTGAGAGATTGTAAATATTTAAAGACAATGTAATGTCCGTCAACAAACATTAAGACAGCGTCGCGGACTCACCCCAAAGTTTTTATAAGACCAGGGTGACAAGCGAACACACAGTCCACCTGATGGCAAGTGGATGCTATGGCCTATAGATATCTCCATCTATCCCCGATGAAGAATCAAAATACAGATGCGTTGTCATCCTGAGGATTAAGATGGAATGTATCGTATCCAGTAAAAAGCTCTACACTCACCATACGAAACACAGCAGCATGCTGGTATTCTGTAAGAGCGTGGTCCGTCTTCGGTCTAGCCGACCCTTTCGTGCTACAACCAGATAGCTGCAGCGTGGCTCTACCACGTTTAAACTACAACACTCTGTCGATAAACCACACTTCACATACTTTGTTTATAAACTACACTTCACACATTTTGTTTTTAAACATTCCAAGGCATGACAGAAGGCTTGTGCTTTATCAACACTTAAAAATAAACTATGCTCTAGCGATCTATTAATGTGGCGTTATTAATATTTATGACATTTATTAAAGTCCATTTATTTTAACAAAAATTTCAAGAATGATTATTCATGTCATATTAGCACGGAAACAACGCAAGCAACGCTCCTGAGTTTTTTTATAGGATAAATTTGACAAACGACCACACATTCCACCTGACGGTAAGTGGTTGCTGCGGCCCATAGACATCTACATCTATCCTCTATTACAAATCAAAATGCAGATGCGTTGTCACCCGTGATGACTAAGATGGAATGCCTCATGTCCAGTAAAAAGGGTCTCCGAGTCTCTACACTCACCATACGAAATACAGCAGCGTTAAGCTGCTATTTCACGCTGGTATTCTGTGAGAGCGTGGTCCCTCCCCGGTCGAGCCGACCCATTCGTGCTACAACTATACTACTAATATAGCTGCATCATGGCTCTACCACGTATAAAAGGCGGAGTTTAATAAAAGGCAGTTATTTCGATATTACAGAGTGACAATTTTATATATAGATATGTTATTGATTGACGTTAAAACGTAAATCTTCTAAAGAAATTTTGTCTGTAAAATATTATGATGTTTGGAAGTGCTTTGGGACTCCCGGAACAGCAGTAATTAGCCTGGTTTTGGGTTTTAAGGGACACTTCGTTTGAATGATATTAATCAACATTTTGTCTCTTTTACTCTTCTGGATCACCAAATCAAGTGTCAACCTGCTGATTATTTAAGTGGCTGACCTTATTAGATCCCTTCCATTTTTCTTCAGTTACTTCGGTAAAGATTACAAAGATGGTCCTTTCCAGTAAATCAAACGCTGTTGGCTGCGATAACATCAGCCGCCGTATCGTACTTGATGTAGCCGCCGTATCTATATCCTTGATCACATTCTTCCAGTTATCTCCCATATTATAAATTTTTCCCTAGATTCCGGAATTTTGCTGCCTGTTATTCTCCCCTTCCTATCCAAAGTACTTGAAGCCTATGTACAAAGGCAAGTATCTCAGTTTGCCTATAAGAACAATTTATTAAGCCCTTATCAGTCTGGCTTAAGGTACAGCACTAATTCCGCTCTTCTAAAGTTACTGGTGATATTAGGGCCATGAAGAGCACCAAAAACATTGTGCTGGATTAGGTTGACTTTTTGAATGCCTTCAGTACTATCAGTCATGATATCTTTTATATTTTCTCATTATATGATTTGTCTCGAAACGCTGCATTGTTTCTTAATTTATCTTCGGGGACATGAGCAGTCGGTCCGTATTGATGAGTCTGCATCAAGCTGGTGTGACAAACATGCTGGTATCCCTCAAGGCGGTATTCTGTCTCCTTTGTTATTTTCAGTATTTATTAATCTCATTACTTACCATTAATGTATCAGCTATATGTTGATGACCTACAGTCGTACTCCGCGCAACGCCGCGGTATGCAATTAGCATTTACCTGTGAGTACAACAATATATTATATGGTCAACAGGGATCTAGAGCGTAATTAAAAGCAAGTGTAACAGGTTTAGTTTAACAGTTTATCCAAATTGACTTTTTGAACGCCTTCGTAATAATTAGGGTTAGGGAAAAATAGTAGGTAGCCATTGCATAATTAAAAAATTGACACTGTAGTTCTATCCCCGATTATTTTCAATGTCTCTTTTATGGATTTATGACTTCTGTCAAGGATCTTGGGTTATACATCGACTGTACTTAAAGCTGACATGGCCAAATGATGGGATGTTTGCCAAAAAGTAGTCACCTTTACGCTGTACCTGTGTGTGTACACCTCTACCGTCTGAAAAACTTTCTTCCATCCAAGACTATAGGATTACGATGATGCGTGTTGTTTTGGCATGAATGCAGATCTTCTTATTACTAATACTATCTAATACTAATATGATCGTCTTCTCAATAACTTGTCCATTAACTTTAATTACGTGTGTACTCATTTGTATTATACTTAGTTAATTGAGCGAGAATCTATTAGCAACAATAAGACTACCATTTCTTTATAAATACCCACGGTTCCATCGTCTTAGAACCGCAATACCGGCAAACGAAACGGAAAACCATTGAAAGACTTCTGAGAAATAATATTTTACGCCATGCCATGTTTGATGATCGATGTTTCATTAAATTTGTTTTTTTTTTCTTGTTGCGTTTTGTACAAAAAACATTACTCTCAGTTACACTAGGATTTTCTCCTGTATCGTGGAGGCAGTTTGTAAACATAAATTGCACAGGTATAATCTAGACGGCTCCGTGGCGCAGTGGCTTAGCAATGAGTTGCTGCGCTTTGGGGCGCGGGTTCGAATCCCGCACGGAACAAGTATTTGTACGGCCTACAAATGATTGTTCCGGGTCTGGATGTTTGTCCTTGTGAAATTTGTGTTTGTAAACTGCCTCCACGATACAGGAGAGAATCCTAGTGTGGGTGTAAGGTTTTTTTTTTTTAAAAAAAAACATAAAACTGAAAAAGAGACCCGGAACAATTTTTTATAGTTCATACAAATACTTGTTCCGTGCGAGATTCGAACCCGCGGCCCCCATCGCTACAACCCATTGCTAAGCTACTGCGGCACGGAGCCGTACAAATGTTAAAATTATACTCTCATTACACATAAGCGACAATAACCTTATTGTTAAGATTAAAATGTCCTCCAGCCCGAATTTCTGCCTCGAAGGCCAGTCTCAACGGAGACTAGCTATCTGCGTATGATAGGATTATAGTGCCCGAGTGTATGCACTCTCTATTCCCTCACTCTATTATCCGATAGTACGACAATGCGACACAAGTGGAGAACAGGCGCAGGATAAATGGCTTTACGTGCTTTCCGAGGCTGCCACTGAGAATTTTTTGACAGAAGAACTGAATAACATAATTTGAACCAACTCAGAATTACCTAAGACCTAATAATCAGCAGCCGCGTTTACGATCACTACACCAACGAGGCAGTCATGGTTAAAACTAAAAAGTCGTGGGTTCGAATCCGACATACACTAGTTGTAGTGGCTATTACTAGTCGTTATAAAATTGCTAGTATGCTTCTAAATTAAAAATAGACACTGATAAATATTACGAGAGAGTATCTTCTCTCCTCAGTCATCTACATGCCAAGTCGTAATGTTTGCTAGCTGATACATACTTGGATACGCATAAATCCGGCTGTGGACTTAAATACTATAGATCATAATGATGATGATTATGATTTAGCATATTGCTGTCTTTTTTTATCTAATTTAAAGTTAAGTAGTAGTTAGTATATACGTCCCATTGCTGTGCACAGGCTTTCTTTCATTTCTGAGAGTATTACGGAGGGATTAGTCCGCCGCGCTCCTCTAGTACATATTTTTCCTCGAAATATTTTATTCCTTCATCATTCATCATTTGTTTTCCTTCATCGCCGAGAAAGTGCAAAATCAGCACTTATAATTAAACTTCTTATATAAAGTAAAAATCGACTGCAAAGAAACCGAAACAAAATTTTCAGTGCTAAGGCATAGTGATATACACGACTTCACAAACTTTTAAATTATATGGAAATTGTTTTAATATTTATAGTTTCTTGAAGACGGTTTTCAGTTTGTGTTTTTGCTTACAATGCGCTTATTTTCGAAACACTTTTAATGTAGTACCTACTACTTGAATTCCTCTTTATGCCTTCATCTTCACCTGGAACGACTATTTACCGTATACACCTTGAGGGACCTGTTTAGCAGCAATTTTAGCCCAGAACTCGTTCAGCAGACGTGTTCGACCCAGTCCCAATAGCGCATAGCTTTTTGCCTCGCATCGGATTTCTGGGTTTTGAGTTGAATTAATTCGAGTTATAAATCCCGGGTTGATAACTGATTAGAGGTATAAAAAAATAATAGTAGTAATAAATGTAATAAATTTATTTATTTTTGTAAAATAAAATATTTGTATACTTTGCCTGGCATGCTCGGTGACCACTTACTACCTAACACTCAAGATGTATTTTGTTTTTAATGTATTTCTCTTTTAAGTGAATTTATGTAAAATCTTATAAGAATAAATGTCTTTGATTCCAAATACCAGCTTAATGCTGCTGTGTTTCGTATGGTAAGTGTAGAGAACAGGAGACCTTTTTTACTGGAAACGAGGCACTCGATCTTAATCCTCAGGGGTTTCAACGTATGTGCGTTTTGATTCATAATCGAGGATGAATGTAGATGTCTATGGCCACAGCATCCACTTACCATCAGGTGGAATGTATGCTCGTTTGTAACATTTCGTCGCTAACGCCGCAAAGGGGCGAACCTCAATTTTTATAAACTTACAGGAAGGAGAGCAAGAAAACATTTATAATTCCTCGATTACTAGCTTTTTTTCATCAGAAAATTAAATATATTAGACTTAATGGAAAACTACAAATAAAAATAATTTTCTGATGAAGAAAAGCTAGTAATCGGGGAATAATAAATATTTTCTTGCCCTCCTGTAACTTTTTAAAAATTGAGGTTCGCCCCTTTGCGGCGTCAACGACGATTTGTCTTATTTTATTTATAAAAAAGTTATTTAAAAGTGAGGTAATTCAACCCATTCAACCCAACTGCCCGTAGTAAAATAGCAATAGCCATACCCTAGCGACTGCCTCACTGAGCCTTAAATTAATTTGTCTGTTTCATTTGACTTTAATTTCTTGTGGTTTTTTTTACTTACGGCCGATTTTTCAATACTCTAGTAACATTCATACATGTGATAAAATAAAATATAGAAAAAATAAAAATTACATTTGCATGGACAAAATAGTCCAATTGTTTCACTTTAAAATTCAGTCAGGTTATAATTTACTTGATGAATAACTTTTATCTGACTCAAAGACATTTAAGTAGTAGTAGTAATATATATTTAAATCTCTTTGATCTGACTATTGTAAAATAAAAAATTTCAGGTCGTATTCGGGAAGCATCCGGTACCTACAGGATACCTATAATTGTGTTAAATTTTGTTACATTCGCCACTGTTATGTTATGGAGCATTGAATTTCTTTACTTCAAACTAAAGAAGAAAAACTCAGAAGAAACTATTGATGCATGAAGATAAAAACCATTAAATAATTGTTATCTGTATATATTGTCATTTACTTTTTAAGCTAGGATAAATAGTTTTATAAATTAAATAAATATCATTTTTCATTAAGTGTTTATTTACAAAATTATTATATATAATATATTTACAATTTTTATCTAATTGAGTAATTATTTCACCATAAATCCGCTGGTTAATCATGCTTTGGATACCAAATTGCAAATAACCCGCTAAATTTATACACATAAACCCCAAAATAAAGTTTTGAAAAAATTAATAAAATACTGTATCATTTACTCCAAATATACTTTGGTTCCAAACATTTCAACTTAACTTCTCTTCTTCTTAACTTAAAAGTCAGATAAAAGAGAACACGTCCTTTTCGTGTTCTCCTTAATTTGACATTATATAAAATTCAACAATTTTATTAGTCAAAATAACAATAGTTGAATTTTTGTGAAATAGTGAAAATAACAATAGTCTTTGTAATTTTCTTAAAGTTTTAAGTCACTTTTACACTAGAAGTTTTATAATTTACACGCACTCACTTAATTATTTTGTGCTTGTTAATGATGGGTTATGTTTTCAGCTCTCCATTATTTATTGCCAAAGTCCTCACTTTTTACTGTACCCTGGAATGAAAAAAAAACATTACATACATCAATGTAACAAATGTACAAATATTTTGTCACCAGATTTTTATTAATAATTGTGTTTATAAAGTATCTTTAAAGTTATTGTTGGAAAGAATTAAAAAAAATGATTTGTGCTAAATGGAAAATTAATAAATTGTTTAACCATATCTGGACCTAAATAAGGGATTTACTAAAAGATAAAACAGATATAATTTTCTTAAATGCAAGGTAAAAAATTAGAATATAAAACGATATAAACCTCATCCGTGTTAAAATGAAGTCTTTCATCGGACCTTTCAATGCCTTGGTCAAGACTGCGTAAGTTGTTTACTGAAAGAACACAAAGTTGGTTTATCTTTTAAGAGAAATTAAGAAAGATGAAGATTTAATTATAATTTCAATTATCCTTACTACTTTGATGCCAGCCTTTGGAGAAGCCGTAAGATGAATCAGATTTAATCGAGTCTAGCAAGGTCGGGCTAGATACTGTAAAGGCGAAAGGTGGACGACTGACAAATCTTGGCGACTTGAAACGAAAATCGTCAGTTATGCTGTCGTCACTGTCACTACTAGCTTTTTTTGACTCAAACTTGTCATCAAATTCAGTTGTTTTGTCTGTTTTATCGCGCCAAGGTTTTGATGTTACAACGTACACCTTTTCTTTCGTTAAAGGTGATATTGAAGTTTGAATAGAACCCCATGGTGCAGGCGTTGTAGTAGTACCACGGAAAGAAGATGCTGCGGTGTATATATGCAGTTTCTGATTATTATCAAGATCTTTACCTGTTTCAGTCGAGTGTTTGTTTTTAATTCTGTTTATTGTATTATATTCTTTTTGCGATTTGGAAAACGTACCATTTTTTATATCTGTGACAGAATATTGAATACTACTAGAACCTTCGTGATCAAAATCGTCATAATTATAACCATTTGTTGCAGTATTTTGGTAATAATAAGGGTTAATAGTGGTCAAAAATTCATCAGGAATTTGTTTGGCGTGTTTTTCGTTGGATCGTGTTCTATCAGGTGTCGCGTAGTGGTTAGAATATTCTTGTTCTGTCCAATCATCGATAGTGTGTTGCAATTTGATTATATCAAATGTTGGATCATTTACGTTGTAAAAATCACTCAATACAGTTGGCGTATTCATTAGCTCTGTTTCATAATATTCAGTTACGGTTGACAAACTTTGCTGCTCTGTAGTTGTACTTGAAACCGTTGAAGTTTCTATGTCGTTGCTATATTTTGATATTTTTGTATTTACGGGCACTTTTCTTCCTTGGTACTCTTGATTTGTCAATGAATGTTGTACTTCCTGTGAAGTTGATCGCAACTCTTTATTGTTTTCTCCTTGTTTTTGTTTCATTATATAAGGAACAATTATTTGTATAATTTTTGTGTGATTTTCATGTTTACTAGTCGACGTTGGCAATTCTTTCCTGTGATACTTCCTGCTTTCATCCCAATCATTAGAAACATTAGATTGTTGAGGTGCAACTGTAGTAGGAATATCATCATATATTTCATACTCTTTCTGACTGGCTGGTGTAGAAATAGTTAATACAAAATTTTCATAATTCTTATGCGGTGCACTAGGTTTTAGATATAAAAGAGGTGAATCAATACTCTGAAGATTACTTTCAGTACGGTACCTATCGACATCGTCATCTTTAGCTCCTCTTAAATCAGCAAATTCTGGCTTGTGATTTGCGGGCACATGGGAATATAGTTTCATATCCAAGGGTAATTTGTTCTCGTTTAAATTATTACCAAATTCTGCACCAGTTGTTTCAAAACTTACATCCTGATTTGCTGTTGCTGCTGAAATATGATCTTCTGAAGCTTGGGGGGATATATCTCGAACTTCATCAATTACATAACTGTTAGGTATATTTCTAAAAGATTTATTATCATTGGAAGTAGATTTTGTAGCATCTATATCTATAACCGGCGACTCAATAAAGGTAGTAGGATATTCAATAGAATGAACATATTCTGCAACTGGTACGCTTTGCGCTACGTTAATATTATTTGAAGTTTTTTTGACGTAGTTTATGTTATGTCCTAACCTGATTGGATAATTTGGGGAGGGTATAGGACGAAATGGCCGAGCATTGAAAATGGGAGGTAAAGGAGATACACTCAAATTCGGTAGAGCGACTGGTTGCAAGGTATGAATATTTCTGCCTCTATTTAATGAAAAAGGGGCAGGATTTGCAAGTGCTACGGAAACATTTGGTTCTGTTGAGTTAAAGTTATTATGGGGTGATGATACCTGTGCTTTAATTTTAGTTGATTCAGCACCTATCGCAGTAAGTGAATAAGGGATATCCAATGAGTGGCTGTTGCTAATATCTTCCCCATAAGAGTTCTTGAAGGCTATCGAATGAGATACTTTCGGAAGTTGTAAATTTACAGATGGTATTGCAGTATTAAGTATTTCGATATCATTTTCTACAGGTGATAGGGTTTGATATACTTCAGGGCTATAAATTTGAAAATTTGGAACAGGAGTTGTAACTTGATGACCTACAGTAGAAGACGATAATGGTGTAACATAAGAGGAAGGTATTTGTGTGGAAGAAGAAAAATTGTAGGAAGGAATGGATAATCCGTTCGTGGAATGAAGTTGTCTTGTTGATGAACTCGACAATCCATACGATGATTTTTGTATAGAATATGTGGAACTAGAAGGACTTTGTGATGAAATTGATATTTGTTGTGTCGCACTCGGTGGTCCATATGTTGAACTTGGGTTTATAAAAATATTACTACTTAATTGTGTTTGATCTGAGATCTCATAAGGGATATTTGGTTTTTCAAGTAAAAGCTGCTTTAGCCTCTGATCTTGGTTCGGAGTCTTGAATGGTTGTGGACGATACTGAACTACATTTTGGGTGAGAGCTGTTGGACCCGGAGGGCCATAATTGGAACTTGAACTTGGTTTAGAATTTGATTCTCCTAAGTTATATTTTATCACTGGAATCCATGGCACTAAATTGCAAGGATTGCAATCTTTTTTTGATGACTCAATGTTATAGCTATTTACTTCAGATTTTACCTGTTCGGAAGGAAAGAGCCATCCCGATATTTTTTGGAACAAGGAAGGCGAAGGAGATGTTGAAAAAGGCTGAGGTTGGGGAACGAAATTAAAGTTATACTGCTTGTAAAAAGGAGCAGGGAGCTTAAAATCTGAAGGCCGTTGGATTGGTGCAATTGGTGCAACAGGTTGGTAATGATATCCAAAATTGGTATTTTGGCGCTGTGCTTTCCCTCCGTGGAATGGCACAGGTGCAAGTAGTAGCGGAAGAGGGGGAGGCTTCAATAACTCTCCGAACTGCGATGCACCATTTCCATTATTGTAGTTATATCCGGAAATCGGTTCACATTTATATCTTGCGATTGCAGCAATGAGTATGACCGGAAAGATCTGAAATAAGATAAAATAATCGTAAATTTTTCTTTCATTTTTTATTGGTGTATCAATTAAGAAAATAACCGATTAACTAGACTGCTAAGTGGTAGTATTCACTATTCATTTAGCAATTAGAAAATACAGTGAAACACTCAATGTGACATATCCAAGCTATTGTGACTATTTCCCACGGAATGCTATTCTTTTGCACTTTTCTCTTTTCTCATAAAGAGCAGTTAAAACACGATCAGAAGAACAGAGGTTTTGGAGCTATGATTTAAGACATTATTATCGTTATTGATTTGAGATATTTTTTTAACTTTTATTGGTATGTGGTATTAAATTATCTTACGCTGCAGTAGGTGTCGTTAGAGGCGAGAGAAGAAAACAAAAAAGAAGATAGGCAGCAGCATCTTCCTGATGAAAAACCAAAATAATAAAAAAACTGCAAATATTGGGATATCACTATAAGGCAATTTATGCGGAGGCCTATGTTCAGTGGTGGACCTTTGATAGGTTGTAATTATGATGATAAATTTTATTTCGTTAAGTAAAATCATATCATAATTTTGGTTCCACTTCCTTAATACATTAGAATTTTATGTTTCATCTATTTTACTAAAATAAAACTGGTTAAGTTCTTTCAGAAATGCGAAACTTACTTATTTTATTTGTTTTTAAAAAGTACGGGTGGGATTCGTGCATGAAGGGTTTCGTACCATCATAAACGCCCTTTAACTTTTAATTTCTTTTTATTTATATTTGTTGGTATAGCGGCAGCAGAAATAAACAATCTGTGAAAATTTCAACTGTCTACTTATTACGGATCATGAGATACAACCCGCTGATAGGCAGACGGACGGACGGACGGACGGACAGCGGTCTTTGTAATAGGGTCCCGTTGGTTACCCTTTGGGTACGGAACCCTAAAAATGAATACGTACAAAAAAGGAAAGAAT